AAGAAAGTATACTTGGCTGCTGTTGGGTGGAGTGTTCAGTATATGTCCTGAAATCAAGTTGGTTGATTGTGGCGTTTAGATGTTTCGTGTGTCTTTATTGAGCTGCTTTCTGGACGTTCTGTCCTTTGCCAAAAGTGGTGTGTTGAAGTCTCCTACTATTATTGTGAAGCTGTCTATCTCTGTTTTCAATGCTGTTAGAGTTTGTTTTTTGTTATTTTAGATCCCTTGTCATTGGGTGCGTAAATATTTATTATAGTTATGTCCTTCCAGCGTACTGACCCTTTAATCATTATATAGAGTCCTTCCTTATCCTTTGTGGTGGATTTTACTTTAAAGTCTATTTTGTCAGAGATTAATATTGCCACTCCTGCTCTTTTTTGAGTGTTGTTTGCTTGATATATTTTTTCCATCCTTTGGGTTTTAATTTGTTTGTGTCTTTAAGTCTAAATTGTGTCTCTTGTAGGCAGCATATAGATGGATCGTCTTTTTTTATTCAATCTGCCACTCTCTGTCTCTTTATTGGTGCATTTAGTCCATTTACATTCAGCGTAATTATTGATAGGTATGAGTTTAGTGCTGTCATTTTGATGTCTTTTTTTGTATTGTTGACAGTTTCTTTGTTCCACTTAATTTTCTGTGCTGAGTCGTTTTTCTTTATGTGTTTTCCTTTCGTCTTCTTCATTGTTGTTGATTTTGTATTTGCTGAGTCTTTATGTTTTTCTTGTTTTTTGTTTGATGTGTAGGATTGTTAGTTTCCTTTGTAGTTACCTTAATATTTACCCCTATTTTTCTAAGTTTAGACCAGTCTTTTATTTCTTTAAATTGCCTTGTCGTCCTTTCCGTATGAAAGATCTATGAGTACATTTTTTAGTCCCTCTTTTTTGTTTTAATGTTGTCATCTTTTACATGTTGACACCTGTTTCGCTATTTTCAGTGTTTTGGGTTTGATTTATTTTTGTGACTTCCCTATCTGGGTCGATATCTGGTTGCTCTGTCCTGTGTTCTAGTCTTGGCTTGTTATCTGAGGTTATTGATTTTCTAACCAGAGGACTTCCCTTTAGTATTTCTTGTAATTTTGGTTTGGTTTTTGAAAATTTCTTATACTTCTGTTTGTCTGGAAATACCCTAATTTTGCCATCGTATTTGAGAGACAGTTTTGCTGGGTATATAATTCCTGGCTGGCAGTTTTTTTCCTTCAAGGCTTTATATATGTCATCCCATTGCCTTCTTGCCTGCCTGGTTTCTGCTGAGTAGTCCGACCTTAGTCTTATTAACTCTCCTTTGTAGATGACTTTTTGTTTATCGCTAGCCACTCTATAAAATTCTCTCTTTATCTTTGGTTTTGGCGAGTTTGATTATAATATGTCTTGGTGACTATGTTTTGGGAACTACCTTGTATGGGGTTCGATGAGCATCTTGGATAGGTATCTTTTCGTCTTTCATGATATCAGGGAAGTTTTCTACCAACAAATCTTCAACAATTCTCTCTGTATTTTCTGTTATCCCCCTGTTCTGGTTCTCCAATCACTCGTAGGTTATTCCTCTTGATAGAGTCCCACATAATTCGCAGGGTTTCTTTATTTTTTAAAATTCTTTTATCAGATTTTTTCTCAAATAAGTTGGTGTCAAGCGCTTTGTCTTCAATCTCACTAATTCTGACTTCCATTGCTTCAATTCTGCTCCTATGAGCTTCTATTTAGTTGTCTAATTCTGAAATTCTATTGTTAATCTTCTGGATTTCTGATTGCTGTCTCTCTATGGATTCTTGCAGCCTGTTAAATTTGTCATTGTGCTCTTCTCTAAACCTTCTTAAGTTCCTCTTTTGCTTTGTGTGTTCCTTGGCTTGTTCTGCATTTTGCCTGAACTCCTTCCTGATCTCTTGAAGAGTTCTGTATGTTAATCTTTTGTATTCTACCTCCGGTAATTCTAAGAAGTTGTCTTCCTTTGGAAAATTTCTTGATTCTTTATTTTGGGAGGTTGCAGAAGTCATCATGGTCTGCTTCTTCATGTGATTAGATAGTGACTGCTATCTCCTAGCCATCAGTAAGTTATTATTTTTATTTATTTTATGTTTGCTTAAAATTACTAGCTTTTTGTTTTGTTTTGATATGGCCAAATAGGCTGCTCGTGGGAGCTAGTTTGATTATTGGTGCCTTTGAAGCTCTCACATCCTGTCACCAGCTGGTTAGGTCTGTTACTAAGTATGTGAGCCCAGGAGTCTTGTTTACTTTTCTTGTATGAATTCAGCTCAGGTGTCCAGGTAGTCAGTCACCAAGTGTGTGGTGCAGGCTCTTACCTACAGTGCTGGACAGGCAGGGGTGATTGGTGTAGGCACAGGTATCTGGCTGCAGTAGGGAGTCACGGGCTGAGCAAGGCAATGGGCTGACAGCTGCCCCTGAGTGTCTGGGAGGAAAGTGTGTCCCTGTTCCCTAGAGTGCATAGCTGGGTGGATTTTGCAGCCAGAGTGTGAGCCCCCAGTGCTGTTGGCTGTAAGGACTGGGAAGCACCACTTATCCTTGGACCCCTGTCACGGGTGGTTAGGTGGCTAGAATGGCTCAGGGCGTGCAACAGGTCTTCCTTCCAGCCCAGACTTGGTGCAGAGCGGGGAGAGTGCAGGTAAATGGGAGAGAGGTTTTTCCCAAAGGGAGTGTTTTTTGATCCATGTGGTTGGTTAGACGCATTGACTTAACTTTTGCTGATTGAGCGCCGCTTCTTGCTGGTTCTGGAGGTTTGAGCAGACTCTGCCACTCAGTCTCTCCCGATGTGGAAAATGTGCCCTGAGCGCTACTGCTTTCCTCACCACACACTCCAGCCAATCCAGCCTGCAGGGTGCCGGTTCCCACCCAGTCAGGTCTGGCAACTCCTCACTGCTTCTGAACCATCTCTCCCTCCTCTTGCTGCTCAGTCTGATTCCTCAAGTTTGCCTTTGATGTTCATGGCTCCTTGATTGTCATATATAATCGATTCACTTGTTTTTTCACGTCTTTGTTGTAAGAGGGACTACAGGAAGCGTCTGACTACTGCACCATCTTGGCCCTGTCTCTTGCCGTCCTCACTTCTAAAGAGCACTCTGGCTGTCCTTCTTCCAAGATAGATTTGTTCGTTCTTCTGGCAGTCCATGGTATATTCAATATTCTTCGCCAACTCCACAATTCAAATACATCAGTTCTTCTTCAGTCTTCCTTATTCATTGTTCAGCTTTCACATGCATATGAGGCAATTGAAAATACTATGCCTTGGGTCAGGCACACCTTAGTCCTCAAACTGACACCTTTGCTTTTGAACACCTCAGAGAGGTCTCTTGCAGCAGATTTGCCCAATGAAATGCGTCGTTTGATTTCTTGACTGCTGCTTCTATGGGCGTTGATTGTGGATCCAAGTAAAATGAAATCCTTGATGACTTTAATCTTTTCTCCATTTGTCATGATGTTGCTTACCTGCTTTTCATGACAATGCATAAAATACAATCTTTGGTTTTAAGAAAATAGTTCAAACCTAGTATATATGCCTTTGAATGATGGTGTTGGTGAAGAACATTGAGTATACCACAGACTGCCAGAAGAATGAACAAATCTGTCTTGGAAGAAGTACAGCCAGAATGCTCTTTATGAGTAAGGATGGCGAGACTTTTTCCTCACATACTTTAGACATGTTATCATGAGAGACCAGTCCCTGGAGAAGGACATCATGCTTGGTAAAATAGAGGGTCGGTGAAAGAGAGGAAGACCCTCAAGGAGATGGATTGACACAGTGGCTGCAGTGATGGGCTTAAGCATAGCAACAATTGTGAGGATGGCACAGAATCGGGTAGTCTTTTATTTTGTTGTACACAGGGTCGCTGTGAGTTGGAACTGACCCAACAACACCTAACGACAACAACGTTACATATGCTGTTTCAAACCTCTCCCCCCCGCTTTAAAGGCAAGGTATAAAGAGTACATTTTTTAAAACTTTAATATGTTGTGAAAGGATGTGTAGATAAGACATCATAGAACAAATGTATTTACTTCATTGCCTGTGAACTCATCATAAGACAGTAGTTATTAAACTTAAAACAGCAACAGCAAGAACGCCTTCTTTCTTTCCCTAACATTTGAAAGGGAAGACACATCTTCAGGAGTATATATAAAATAACTGTGCCTTCATTCTTTTCTATTCACTTTTCAGCCTAAGCAAATACTAGATTAATTTCAATTACTCTTCCTGATTTTCCTCTTAGAACTACCCTTTATTCCAAAATCAAAGAGGAACCTTTTGCTTCTCTTTCTCCGCCTGCTTTAGACTTCCACCTTGTGGTAGCTCCTCAATGACAGGAGCACCTAAATAGCTATTCCCTCCACTTTCTGGGGTAATTAATTAGTGTCACAGGTCATCTGTAAAACCAGTTCCATCCTGTATTCTTCTTTGGCTGCTTTGATTCTGGATTCTAGCTTTTCATTTGAGGTTAAAGTCGAACCATGATAAATAATGGGGTAATTTACACTTTTGCCATTTTGACTCCCATCAAAAGGAAAATGAGTCTTGGAGTAAAGGAAAAAAGAACATCAAAGTCTGTTCTAGGAAATGATTCTTAATTGCCACGTTTTTATACATGGTTTTAAGAGCTGTTACTGTTAGCAGCAGCAACATTATTCATGCTCCTGCTACTACTGTTACTATAGAGATCAGCTAACATTTGTTAACTGCTTAACAATAAATTCATAATTATTATTATATATAATAATAAATTAATAGCAATAATAAATTAGTTCAGGCACTATTCAGGCATTGTTTCACAACATTATATGAATAAACTCATTTAATAAGTTAATGATGAAAATAATTGCCCACAATCTTAACCTTTCCTTGCCTTCTCTATTTGTGCATTTAGTATTTCTTCTTTGGTTTACTTATTTGACTATTTCTTTAAGTGGTTAGCTATTTTCTCTGGACATTGATTACTGCGAATTGTTCATGGCCAAGCAGTTTCGTTTTTACACCTCAATTTTTTTTTTTTAAAGGGGGAAGTACTTCCCAATCCATCAGATTATAAATCCTCACTCATTGCACTGACTGCTCATAATTGGCTACTTCGTATATCTGCAACTACTGGAAAAATCCTTGAGAAGATATATCTTGCTTCCTATTGCAAATTCAGGTATTAACTATTCAAGATTTTATTATAAAAATATGAAGCCCAGGAAATTCCTTTCTTTTTTTTTTAGTTTTCTAGTGAATACCAGGAACTAGATTTATGAACCTATTCTCTTGTTCTCTCCTCATAACCTTATAACTATACTTGAAGATCTGAGCATAGAAACCCTGTGTCACTTTGTATTCTTCACAAGTACCTAACCTATAGTAATTGCCAGTTAAGTTTTTTTTTTTTTTTAGTTTGTGTTTTCCCTTCTACAAATAGTATTTTATATGTAGGGTACATTTTATGCTAGATTTACCTGAAGACTAGTCGGTTTCAGTTGAATTATGTCTAGTACAATGTTATAACTATTTTTTAGCTAATGGTTTTGTACATTAGAGGTAAAGTTTTGGAGTGAATATATGCATACAAAGTATGAAAGTAACGTTTTAAAGCTTTTTGTAAGTTTCAACTTAAAGTAAAAATGATTATTTTGTTTTCTAAGTTTTAAGTACTTTTAGATCAGACATAATTTTTATTCATCAAGACTCTAGAAGGATTAAAATTATATATAAGATATATATGCGTGTGTGTGTGTGCGTGTATATATATATATATATATTTTTTTTAAAGGCTCCCTGGTGGCACAGTGGTTAAGCACTAGGTTGTTAACCAAAAGGTTGGCAGTTTGAACCTACCAGCCGCTCCACAGGAGAAAGATGTGGCAGTCTGCTTCCATAAATATTACAGCCTTGAAAACCCTGTAGGAAAGAGTTCTCCTATAGAGTTGCTATGAGTCAGAATTGACTCAGTGGCAACAGGGTATATATCTTATGGGTATATATCCATTATAGGACTTTACAGGAGCTTCTTCTAGCTATTTGTTTTTAGAAAATAAACCTCTTTGCTTTTATAATTTAAGTAACTAAAAACTGTTCACTTGTAAAATATCCATTCTATTTTGATTTTTAAGTATAGGGAAACTCACCTAAATGAATAAACCTCTCACAATTCTTTTAAAAGATACTTGAGCTGGGACACTCCTCAAGAAGTCATTGCAGTCAAGTCAGCTCAGAACAAAGTCTCAGCAGTGGCACGCCAGGTACACATCTTTAAACATTTAATAAAATGAAGAATTTGTTTCCATAGGAATTTGTCTGCAAATTTGTTGCCAAAGAACTGACAATCTTTGATTTCTGAAGCATGTTGGTAGGTAGATTTTTTTTTCTTCTTCTTAAAAGAATTAGCCAAGATTTACTAGACTGTAAAGTAAGTTTAATTCTTTGACTATAAGGTCGGCAGTTTGAATCCACTACCGCTCCTTGGAAACAGTATGGGGCAGTTCTGCTCTGTCCTTTAGGGTCGCTATGAGTCAGACAGAATTGACTCGACAGCAACAGGTTTGGTTTGGTTTTTTGGTATATATATATCAAGTAATTTTTTTTTCTGCTTGTGACCTTAAGAAATATTATAAAAAAGCATTTCTTGAGCACTTTTTTTTTTTATAGATACAGACTCTGCCCTTAGAGATTTTTTGTTTCTTCATACCCCAGGACATCTAGAAAAGCAAATACTTATTTGCTGTGTGCTCTTGGCAGAGTCTGTATTCTAGGTCTTTGTTATTTTTAACTTGAACTACTACAACTTTTTCTCACCCGTGTCCTGTACTACAAAATAGCCGAGCACTGCTCTGAGTGCTTTACCTGTATGATCTCATTTAATCCTAGTACAACCCTTAGGGTAGATAGTATTGTTGTCCGATTTTACAGATGAAGAGACTGACCCAGAGAGGTTGAGTAACTTACTCAAAGTTGTAGTGTTGGTAAGTGGCAGAACCTGGATTCTAATTTGGGCAGAGTCCCTGCTGTTAAGTACTACACCATACTACCACTTCTAGAAATTCCTGTAACACTGACTGGCAAGTAAAGTTTATATAAAACTTTAGAGTGCCTTTTTAAAAATTAAGTAGTTCCTCTTACTTTACCTTACTTAGCTGGCAGCATCAACCCTTCCCTTGCTAACCCTCTGATGTATTACCATCATACTGTGTGCCAAGTAAACATACCCCTTGAGTGTAACCTCTCATGCAGTGAACCCTACTTTTCACTCCTCTCTCATCTCTGTTGTCTATTCTTCTGTATCCCACTGAAGCCAAGTAAACTATTAGTTGGCTACTTCCATTTATTTTTTTACTATGCTTATCTATAAGCATTTTTTTAACCTTTTTCCTATATCCTACCCAATACCTTCCATTACATGAATAAGATAACTGCATGCCTTTTACTGATGTCTCCTCACCCTTTTCTTGATTTATTTGAGTATGACAATCAAGAGAAAAAGACTTGCCATTATGTCTCTTTTAACACTTCTCTTGTTACACTCTCACTCACTGTATCGCCTTTTCCACTTCAGTAAAGGAAAACTCACAGAAAGCAAAATAGTATAACAAATTAGTGAAACATTTTCTGAGAATTCTAAAAGTCCCTTGTCTAATTTGCCTTTCTTTAAGCATGTAGATTACTTACAGAGCAAGAACTGCAATCTAGTTCTATACAGCACAATCTATTAAAGTCTTTCAATTATTATCATTTGGGTGATACAAATGGTTAACATGCTCAGCTACTAACCAAAAGACTGGAGGTTCAAGTCCACCCAGAGGCACCTCCGAAGAAAGGCCTGGTGATATCTACTTCCAAAAAATTAGCCGTTGAAAACCCCATGGAGCACAGTACTACCGTGACACATACGGGATCGCCATGATTTGGAGTTGACTCATCAGCAACTGGTTTTAATGTTAATAAGTGTGTCTTATTGGTATTTCTGCATTCAAGACTCTGTTTAGAATCTCTTTACAGCCTCCCGCAGCTACTAGCTCTTGGTTGGGGTATATAAACTGTATCTTTCCTTTGAGTTTTAGGAGCATGGAAGGAGTCTGATTACACCTCGAAGATCTTGGTTCAATCAAAATTCACCCCTTTCAAAGGGAGAATCTTTTGGGCTTTAACCATTAGTATCTTTTGTTTGTTTTCTAACTTTTAGTCATGGCGGTTTTGATTGATGATCTTGATACCCCAACCTTTAGGGTTCCCTTGAAGCAGAGTCTGACTGTGGTGGGGCAGACAACCTTTACCTACTACAAATTTAAGAAATTTCCTTAAAGCCGCTCTGGGGAAGTACGATAGATGATTTTACATTTCATAGTGGGAAGATACTGACTGGACCTTGCTCTTCAGAATAAGGGAGCTTTCCTCTCCACATAGAGAAACCACTCAAGCTTTAATAGTTGTTTTTTTTGTTTTTTCTCATGTCATATGGACATGCTGCTCATGTCAGTGCATTGCTGGTTTCAAGTGATATGACCATGATAACTGCACATTTTTCAATTAGGTTGTTTAGTGTTATTGTTTGAACTCCAATTTACGATATAAATGCATGACATTTTGTTACTAAGAGATGTTTACTGTTATGTTTGCTTTTGTGAATTGTGTGCGTGTGTGCCTGTATGGCTGAAGGTTTAGTGGACATATTTTGAACATGTATGCCTTCCTGTTTAATTTTGCAGTCCAGATTGATGGATGTTTTTAATTCATGAAAACACCTACATAACTGCATGCTAGGACAGATGGATATTTTCAACTCATTAAAACAGAGTGTGTCTGAAGTACTTTTTAGAGCTGCCTGTAACTTTACTCTTTTCTTCCAGGCAGGTATTCAACAGTCCGTTTTGCTGTACCTTGCAGTGTTCCGTGTTCTACCTTTTTCACTCATAGGGGTTTTGGAGATCAACAAAAAAGTAAGAACTTGTTTCTGATTTAAATGTATTATTAGTTTTATTGACAGTAAAATGTGGTGTCATCATTTAGTTATTTGTTTATTGGATGTTTTAATTGGGAATGTTCTCCTGACTATAAAAAATTTGCTGACCTGGTTTATTTCATAATAAAATGCATGAGAACATTTGATTTGAGAAGAGAGTCTAATCATTCCTTCATCTCTCTTCATGTTTTTATGCCTGTTCTGTGGATGGTGTTGGTTATTTATGGTCACTAACAAACTGCTATTTTATAAAATTACAAAATGAGCAAGATTTTTTTTTCAGAAGGAATATTGCAAAGCTTGTTAAAATGATCATTAAGAGAAGGTGAAAAGCTGCAACAAAATGCCTCATTTTAATTATGAGAGAGCTAAAACCTGTTTTATGGTATATAAATATGCCTTATAATTAAATGTGTACATTTTCCAACTCAGTCAGTTTGGGGTTTTATTGTTGTTGCCATTGTTGATTTTGGGGGGCTATAAGAGGAAGGAAGGGAGAAATTTCCCTGGGTAAAAGAATCAATAGTCTTCTTTCCTTTTATAAATTGTTACTTACTCTGGATGAATAGTTACTTATTCTACTAGTCTTTAATTAAACACTTGAGGTATTCTAGAGGACAAGCTCTTGAACATCCTGTAGCATTAATTAGCAAACAAGATGAGTTTATTAAAAGTTATTTATATGAAATAATCATAATATACTAAACTGAAGAAAGGCTAAAGAATAGTATTAGCTATCATTTATTTTTGTTTTATGCTAGACATTTTAAGTGTTTTATAACATTGTAACATAATTAATTCAGTTAGGAAGCTAAGCAGCTACACAAATCTTAAAGATAGTAAATGAGGGAGCTGGAATTTGAACTTAGGTTTGACTCCAAAGTGTAAATCAAATTTTAAAATAGGGTGGCTACTTTATCATAGCATTCATTATATGGAAATATGTTTGAATTACACAAATCCTCCTTTTCAAAGTGGGGAGCCAGGATCAGTGAATAAAGAGTTATGAGCTAGTTAAAGATCAAAGCAAACCATGATTATACTTCTAAGAGATGACAAAAAAGCACGGCTCATGAAGTAATTGTACGTACTTTTTACAGTCTCCAGCAGGAGTGAACACTTGGCAAAGTCACACGTTGTTTCTGTGTTTTCTTACATATCCAAGGTAATCACATGAGGGATTTAGTTTTGATTATGGTTACATAGAATTGAAGTACATCTTTCACTTACCATGTATAATAAGACCACCCAGTGGCCAGTTTCAGAATGTAGTGAGCTATTTATTGAGGCAGTAAATCTTCACTAAGTAAAAAATTTGTCTTGAGTAGAAATAGAAACATATTTTTACTTCATTCCTAATTGTTCTTTCATTGCTATGAATATTTGTCAGTGTTGGCTTTTGTTAAATATTAAGATAGGCGCAGAATCAAATTCTTTATCAGACCCCTGGGGAGAATCATGACAGGATTCAGTGCATAGAACAGAAACAGAAAGGGGACAGACAATGAGCCAAAGACTTACTCAGGGTCAGCTAGGTGTTTGGTTTTTAAAATGTTTAGTTTTTATATGACTGATTAAAAAATTCAAGAACAAGGTGATGATAAAATTCTGAAGTTAGCTATTTCTCAATAGAATTACTTTTCTTAACCCCATCTTTTCATCTCTGATTAGCTAAAAACTAAGTCTTTGCATAAAGAAATTTTAGCATAGAGAATGGATCCCTGGCATAATAGGCATGGTAGAGTAAATACTCATTTAGAATTAGATGGATTCAGTATATTCCTATGTCCGTGAGGAATAGGGTTTGTTATTAATGGATATTGGCAAGGCTCTGAAACAAACAAAATGAAGAAAATGAATACTATCTCATTTTGAGGAATATGTGCTACGCCCCCATTAGTGTTCCAGTTTGAGACTCCAGTGGCTCACCGCTCACCCCTAAAAACACCTTAATCTCTAGTTACTAAATTATATTTAAGTTATAATGCTAGGCAGCAGGGTTATAGTGGTGACCTGAATATTGAGCAATATTGCAAAGCGCTGTGAACACTCAGAGGACTGGCCTTCTGGTCTTTTCTCAGGTGATATCTGCCTTTCCCCCCAGATTTTCGGGAACGTTACAGATGCTACCTTATCTCATGGAATACTGATTGTGATGTATAGCTCGGGACTGGTCAGACTCCATAGCTTCCAAGCCATCACTGAACAGGTAGAGAAAACTAAAATTTTCTATACTGTAATTAACTTGAGGTTTGGACTGAGGTATAATTTTTAGTGAGATGCTTTTAGAGCCAGGCACTTGTTATGTAGATTTCAACTCTGCAAAACTGTACGAATACAGAAAGACCAAGTATCTTTAAAAGAGGGGTGGGGGAGATAAACAGAAAAGCCTTCGGACAAATAAAGACATTTTCTCTGTCATATACATGTGAATTTGATTTTTTTTCTCTACAGACAGCAAATAAGTAGGTGCTAAAGCCAACATTTTTGTTTTGTTTTGTTTTTAGTTCATGCAACAGAAACTTGACTTAGGGTGTGCATGCAGATGGGGTGGGACTACTGGAACTGTAGGAGAGGCTCCTTTTGGCATTCCTTGTAATATTAAAATCACAGGTATGGCTACTATATAGTATTTTTTCACCTTCAAAAAAAAAAGTGGTCATATAAATAGTTATTAATTGTAATCTAAATGTTTTTCTTATAATTTAATTATACATTAAATTCATCTTACTCCTATACAGCATATACCTGGCTATCAAATAGATGTCGACAAAAATCTGTCAGTTAGTTATTCATTGTACTGAAGTCCTGGGGATGCTGAGCTTTGCTTGGCTGGAGATTGGTGACCTTTGACAAGTCACTGTCTTTCTGGTCATTGATTTCCTTATCTGCAAAATGAGGAGGCTGTAGCAAATAATGCCATCTTAGCTCCCTGTAACTTAATATTTTACAATTCTGTGAAATTTACCCACCTCTAGGAAGGATGTGTTTCAAAGAAAATATAAAATTACCGTGCCATCTGAACACAGAGCTTAGGCACAGAGAGAACTTCCTAGCATACTTAGAGATTGACAAAGCACAAAAAGGAAAATTATATACAAATTTCTAGATTAAAATATTCTATATAACTAGCTTATCAGACTCAGCAGTTTATTAAAAATGAAATAAGCTACTACTCAAATGCAGCAGTTTATTTAAAAAGAAATAAACCATGACCGACAAGAGTTCATCTCAGGAATACAAGCATGGTTTAATGTTTGAAAGTAAAAAAATAACATGGTTAAACAAAAGAGAAAATACATTTTCTTAATATCTATTTGCCTTTATTCTTCAATTTATTAAGAGTTATTATCACGTTAAGGACATTTCCTTTTATTTCTAACCAATAAATGCTGTGTTTTTTAGGTGAAACTCCAAAGATGTTTCTAATATAGGCAGAATAAGACAAAGATTTTTTCTATTACTGTATTTAACATCAACAGATCAAGAAACAAAAATAAAAGATATAATTGTTAGAAAGGAGGAGGTGAAGTTTGTTTTAGTAGTAAATGACAAACTATGAAAACTAATGAGAGAGTTCAGTACAGCCATTAAGTTAATCCAGAAAGTTCAAAATAAATATTTTTAAGATGACCCTTTTTTTTTTTTTTTTAGTTCTCTATTCTTTCGTGCATTTAAAAAAAAAGTTAATGAACGAAGGACCCTGAAAGTAGACAGTGCAGACCAGCATTTGTGAAGGCCTGAAGTGTGAAGGAGCAGGACAAATGAAGGACGCCAGCATAGGCCTCAGGCAAATGACGAGCTCCTGCTGGGAGCAGAGGAGATGAGTGGAGAGGCAGGCAGGGCCAGATCATGAGAGGTATTGTCTGCTAAGCTAAGGAGTTTGAATATTATCCTGAAACAGAAAGCTAATAAGGCATTTCCATTAAAAAAATTTACACAAGTTTTTGGATGCCTTGGACAAGCCGAATTAAGCAGGTTTGTGAAGATTCAACCCCAGCAATACTTCTTATATCCAATACAGATGGACTAGTCAGAATCTGTTAAGAATTTTACAACTGCAGGCTCTGGTGGAAACTAAAATGGGTTATCTTGAGAAGAGTTTCCCAAACTGTTAGCATTGTTCTCATTGAAATACAAATAAATGAGTAAAACAAAGAGCAGCTGGGTGATAAAGCACAAAATATTGTTTCTGTTAGCAAAATATTAGAAACAGTATGTACATTGGTAGGTGACACTAGTATTAATCTCATTGTATGGCTGTATCATAATTTGTTAAAGAGGAATTCTTTTTGCATTGTTATACAACAATTTCCAAGATATATTACAGCGTGAAAAAATGGGTGTATAAACTGTGTACATTAAAAGGCCCTGTTTGTGTAAAGTCTTCATATTCACGTATTAAAAATACATGTACAAGCATATGCTTTCATATTTGCTTGGAGTACTCAGAAAGGACATACAAAAACCTGATAAAGTAGTTACCTCTGAGGGCACAGAAATTAAAGTATATAGCTTCTGATACCTTTTGAGTGTAGTGCTTGTATTCACCTATGCCAAAAAGTGATTGTAGATTCATATGTGTTTGCGTGTGTGTGTGTGTGTGTGCGTGTGTGTGTCTGTGTTTGTTAATCCTGCAGATTTTAAGAACTTGACTTATATGCCATTTTATGGATGAACTATAATTTATTTAACCAATTTTCTACTTTGGACATTAGGCTGTTTCTAGTTTTTTGGATTGTAAGTAGTATATCTATATAAGAATATTCATGTAACTATTAATGATCCTTGCCTGAATCAGTTATTTCATTGTAGGTTGCAGAATGATAGTTTTTAAAAATTTCGTCATTCCTTCTATCTTTAATAGCTGGCATTTTTCTGTAAGAACTTTCGTCATCAACTAGGAAGGAACTCATTGTCGTCAAGTTGATTCCCACTCATAGCGACCCTATAGGACAGAGTGGAATTGCCCTCTAGGGTTTCCAAGACTGTAATCTTTATGGAAGCAGACTGCCACATCTTTCTCCTGTGGAGTGGCCGGTGGGTTTGAACCACCCACTTTTTGGTCAGCAGCCGAGTGCTTAACCACTGTGCACCAGGGCTTCTGGAAGGAACTACAGTTCCTCCTAAAAAGGGAAGGTAAATACTTATTCCTTCCCTTTAATTACCAGTTTTCAGAAAAAGGAGTTGATGTAGTAGTCATTTCCAGTGGTGGCAAAATGTTTTATAAATGCATATATAAACACAATGTTGTTGTTGTTAGGTGCTGTCAAGTTGATTACAACTCATACCGACCTTATGTACAACAGAGCAAAACCCTGTCCAGTCCTGTGCCATCCTCACAATTGTTGTTATCCTTGAGCCCATTGTTGCAGCCATTGTGTCTGTCCATCTTGTTGAGTGTCTTCCTCTTTTTTGCTGCCCCTCTACTTTACCAAGCATGATGTCCTTCTCCAGAGACCGATCCCTCCTGATAACGTGTCCAAAAAATGTTAGCATCTCACCATCCTTGCTTCCAAGGAGCATTCTGGTTGTAGTTCTTCCAAGACAGATTTGTTCTTTTGGCAGTCTATGGTGTATTCAATATTCTTCGCCAATGCCACAATTCAAAGGCATCAATTCTTCTTCGATCTTCCTTGTTCATCGTCCAGCTTTCACATGCTTATGAGGCGATTGAAAACATCGTGGCTTGGTTCAGGCTCACCCTAGTCTTCAAGGTGACATCTTTGCTTTTCAACACTTTAAAGAGGTCTTTTGCAGCAGATTTGTCCAATGCAGTGTGTCTTTTGACTTCTTGACTGCTGCTTCCATAGGTGTTGATTATAGAGCGAAGTCAGATGAAATCCTTGACAACTTCAGTCTTTTCTCCGTTTATCATGATGTTGTTTATTGGTCCAGTTGTGAGGATTTTTGTTTTCTTTATGTTGAGATATAATCCATATTGAAGGCTGTAGTCTTTATCTTCATCAGTAAGTGCTTCAAGTCCTCTTCACTTTCAGCAAGCACGGTTGTGTCATCAGCATAACACAGGTTGTTAATGAGTCTCCAATCTTGATGCCCCATTCTTCTTCATAGAGTCCAGTTTCTCTGATTATTTGCTTAGCATACAGATTGAATAGGTATGGAGAAAGGATACAACCCTGATACACACTTTCCTGACTTTAAACCATGAAGTATCCCCTTGTTCTGTTCTAACGACTGCTTCTTGATCTATGTACAGGTTCCTCATGAACACAATTAAGTGTTCTGGAATTCCCATTTTTTGCAGTGTTATCCGTAATTTGTTTTGATCCATACAGTTGAATGCCTTTGCATAGTCAATAAAACACAGATAAACATATTTCTGGTATTCTCTGCTTTCAACCAGGATTCGTCTGACATCAGCAGTGATATCCCTGGTTCCACATCCTCTTCTGAATCTGGCTTGAATTTCTGGCAGTTCCCTCTTGATACACTGCTGCAGCCGCTTTTGAATGATCTTTAGCAACATTTTACTTGCATGTGATATTAATGATACTGTTCAATAATTTCCGCATTCATTTGGATCACCTTTCTTGGGAATAGGCATAAATATGGATCTCTTCCAGTCGGTTGGCCAGGTAGCTGTCTTCTAAATTTCTTGGCATAGACAAGTGAGCACTTCCAGTGCCGCATCTGTTTGTTGAAACATCTCAATTGATATTCCGTCAGTTCCTGGAGCCTTGTTTTTCGCCAGTGCCTTTGATGCAGCTTGAACTTCTTCCTCCAGTACCATTGGTTCCTGATCATATGTTACCTCCTGAAATGGTTGAATGTTAACCAATTCTTTTTGGTATAGTGACTGTGTATTCCTTCCATCTTCTTTTGATGCTTCCTGCATCATTTAATATTTTCCCAGTAGAATCCTTCAGTATTGCAACTCGAGGCTTGAATTTTTTCTTCAGTTTTTTTCAGCTTGAGAAATGCTGAGCTTGTTCTTCTCTTTTGATTTTCTATCTGCAGCTCTTTGCACATGTCATTGTAATACTTTACTCTGTCTTCTTGAGCCACCCTTTGAAATCTTCTGTTCAGCTCTTTTACTTCATCATTTCTTCCTATCGCTTTAGCTACTCGAAGTTCAAGAGCAAGTTTCAGAGTCTCTTCTGACATTCATTTTGGTCTTTCTTTCCTGTCTTTTTAATGACCTCTTGCTTTCTTCATGTATGATGTATGATGTCATCTGGTCTTCGGTCATTAGTGTCCAATGCATCAAATCTATTCTTGAAATGGTTTCTAAATTCAGGTGGGATATACTCAAGGTTGTACTTTCTCATGGACTTGTTTTAATTTTCTTCAGCTTCAACAGTACTTTCATATGAGCAGTTGATGGTCTGTTCCACAGTCGGCCCTCAGCCTTGTTCTGGCTGATGATATAGAGCTTTTCCATCGTCTCTTTCCGCAGATATAGTCGATTTGATTCCTGTGTATTCCATCTGGCAAGGTCCACGTGTATAGTCGCCGTTTATGTTGGTGAAAAAGGGTATTTGCAATGAAGAAGTCGTTGGTCTTGCAAAATTCTGTCATGTGATTCTACGGCATCATTTCTATCACCAAGGCCATATTTTCCAACTACCAGTCCTTCTTCTTTGTTTCCAACTTTTGCATTCTAATCACCAGTAATTATCAATTATTTTACACAGAATAGACTCATGGATTTTTATTTATTCAATATTATATAGCTACAGTTATTATTCTTAGTGATGCTCAGATCATCCCAAATTTGGCCAGTGGGAACTCCATCAAGTGGATCATTTGGACCTATACCAACAATCTTTTAAGCGGTTCCTTGACGTCTGGGACAATATATGTCTCAGGCTTGCCTTTTACTTTCCTTGTCCTAGATCTGACAAGGAGCCATGTTAGTAGAGAATGTCATTAGAGACCATGATGTAATCTGTGTAGTTGTACTCATTGTAATTGGGTGTCTTCTAGGCCCTTTCAATAAACAGAGTGGGAAATACATTAGAACAGAAATTCACTAGTTCGTTTACATATTTCCAATTCAAATATAACCATTTTTAACTTTGATTTTATATTTGTATTTCTTATATCACTTATATTGAAAATCTTGGTTCCTACAACTTTATCCTTTATTCTTTATCCTTCAGCTCACATAGGATAATCTTAAGATTGCAGTACTAGTGTTACTACTGAAAATAAAAATATGAGCCGAGGTTAAGATTTTTCTGCAGTTCCTTCTGTGCTCAGTGTACAGCCCAGTAAGAGTACTGTCAGAGTAATGTATTCAAAAGTTACTTGAAATTATTTTTCTGTATAATTAGAAATTTTTCTACCAATTTGATATAATTAGATTTATTTGTTTCAGTTTGTTTTCAGTTTTGGAGTTTACTTTTCCTTTTAATTTTGTCTTTAGAGTTGTGAAATGTATTCGTAGTTCAAAGATCAAAACTATATAAAAAGGTATACTCTGAGAAATTTTACTTGCACTCTTAGCTCCTCCATCCTGTTTCTTCCTTCCTCTCTCTCACCCTGTCCCCATAAGAATCATTATTTCTAGTTTCTGGTTTGTCCTTCTGTTGTTTCTTTTTGCAAAAATAAGCAAATGTGTGTATGTATACTTGAAATTTTGCCTTCTGTCTTACACTAAATGTAGTATATACTCTGTTCTGTACCTTGTATTTTTCACTTAATACATGTCTACATTTTTAAACATTTATTTAATGGAAAAAATATATAAGGTTAACCATCCCCTACATTTAAAAAACTTAATTGTATCCTATTATAGTCATCCTTCTTTTATGAATAATACAATAGTCATTCTGTATACTTTATATTAAAAGTCTTACTTGAAGTGTCATTGTTTGCACAGACTCACAATATTCTAATTAATCTGAATTATTGTTTTAAATGCTTCTCTTTTCACAGACTAGCCGGTAGGAGCCCTTTTTGTTGGCTCTTCTATTCCTTTAGCGCTACCCCTGACATCCTTGGGAACATCCTTGCTTTCTAGCAACAGCAGAAACGTCTAGATCCACCCTAAAATTTACTCACCACAAGACATGGAATCAGCTACTCTCTAAGAACTCCTAGATCTTTTTAAATGAGAATAGTATTAAAGATTAAAATTTGGGCTTTTACGAGGATTAGAGGGACCCATCAGAGTTGTGGTGGGCAGAGTTCTGTTTCTACTTTTGGGCCACTTTTAACAACTGCTGAGAAAAGTATTCTTAAATACATCTGTTTGCATTGTTGTTGTTTTTTTTTTTTTTTTTTTCCTATTTTGGATTCTTATTTTATGTTCTCTATAAAATATCTACTTAAAATTTAACTCCAAATTGAAACTGTAATTATATTATTTTCTCTTTATAATTCTTTTTTCCTCACCTACCATCATTTGGTAGCACCATATTAACATACATGCTGTTTGTATTTCTTTTGTAATTTACCTGTTCATGTCCTCTGCCCATTTTTCTATTGGAGTGTTCATGTTTTTCTTATTACTTAAAAAAGATCTCTTTATATATTAAGGATATTAACTTTTTTAAAAAAGCTTTAAAAAAAACCCACTTTCAATATATTTGATGTTTGTACCTTTCTCTCCTATCTCAAGACTGTCAGTTTGTGAACTTGTTTTTCATTATTTTTTTTTTCCTCCTGTGTATTTCTAAGTAATAAATAAAAGCAGGGAAAAAATTGTCTTCATGAAGATACCTAATAGAACACACACTTCTGTGTATATAACACATGGTTCTTACTTGGATGATCTCCCTAAGACAAGCACCTTTACTAACAGTGGTGGCCTCATAAACCCAAAGATTAAACTCTCAAAGTAGAGAAGGATAAACAAAGGAGTCAAACCATTTGGTGTTACCCAAGGACTTTGTGAAAGGAATTGTGATTTTCTAAAGCTACAGTGCCTTCCACCTGTGCATCTCTCTAAGAGTAGATCTGTTTATGTTCTACCTAAAATTGCGATCGAAGAGGCACTAAGAAATTTCTTTTATGGTGTTACTTTCCAAAAGACAATGACTGATGATATATTTGAGCTACCTTAAAGTTAACGTGTCTTATGATAATACTAGTGGCTATGCATTCAAAAAAGTGTCCACTATGACAGGTCCTATCCTAAGTGGTTGCATTCATTATGACTAATACCACTTGTACACGGGGAATCCTAAGCCAGACTGCTGTTGTAAAGTTTGCTGAGTAGAACCTGTTAATCTAGGGTATGGAAGATCTCTTCCTTACATTTGAAGGAATTACTTGACCTAAATTCCTTGTAAGGTTGTTATGAAAGTTGGAAATGGTATCTAACCTAGAGTCTTGCACTTAGCAGATGCTCAGTAAATGACAGCTGTTTTTATTAGATTTGCTTTGTCATTTTTTGCCGTCATAAGTACCTTCAGCCTACTTTTTATCTCTCCTCAGCTGCAGATCACACATGCTTATCCTGAAGACAGATGTCTGGAAAGTTGACCATAGCCTAGCGTTTGTTTCCTACTAGCTTTCTCTTTTTTTTAGCAGTAAGCCTCTTTTCTATTTCTTTGAAATAGTAATTTTACATTAATGAAAATTTATAGATGATGTATGCAGAGAAGGTCAATTTCGGTTAATGAGTGGTCCAAGGCTGCTAAAACAGAGAAGCTAATAAATTCCTTTTGCCCATCTCCACAGACATGCCACCACTGCTCTTTGAGGTGTCCTCCCTGGAGAACGCTTTTCAGATTGGAGGCCATCCTTGGCATTATATCATCACACCTAATAAGAAGAAACAGAAAGGAGTTTTCCATATTTGTGCCCTAAAAGACAATTCCTTGGTAAATCATGACTAATCAGACTTTTTTAGTAGTAAATTTGCGTCAGAAATGATTTATTCTCTCTCTCGCTAACATTTGAGCAAATTATAAAAACCACAGGAGCTATTGTAATGGTGCTTAGTATTTAACACAAAGGAAAATAATGTTTCTTTCACATGTTATAATTAAGAGAGAATAGTCTCTTAAAGATATGCGTAGTATGTACATGTTTTATATTAAACAAAGGAATATCTGGAGCTAATGCCACATGGACACATTAATTTTTTTTTTTTTAATTGTGAAACACACTTTACTTTCAATATTTTTATAGAATTTCCCCATCATCATTCAGACCTTAAGGGCAAGTTACCTAAAAGCCTTATTTAAAACAATGGAAAGGAGAAAAAAAAGACATCTAGGGTAATCAGTGGTCCCAGTTTGCCCAGGACTGGGGCGTTTCTCAGGATGTGGGACTTGCAGTGCTAATATTGGAGATGTCCTTGGAAAACTAGGACAAGCTGGTCACCTACAGGTCACCCTACATGACACACCTAGCACATCATTTCAGCCGTTGCAACCAACAATGCCATTAATGTAAACACTGAGCTTGCTAAAGACAAGCTCTTTGTGTTGGCCATGATATAATTGAACCCTCTGTCATCCCTATGATACTTGCTTACTGAGGCCTCATGACAACGTGACTGCGGGTATAATATATACGTCCAGTTTTGGTTGTGTGGCATGCACTCATAGTTCTTCCTTTTTCTTTTTTTTATTGTGGACACATTAATTTTAATGGTTACAAAGAAGATGTTTAATTTCATTGATTTTCTTTTATATAAAGTAGAATAATACCACCTTCCCTATTAGAAATAATTAGGATAGTTATAAAAACTCTTAAAAAATTAAAACTCATTCATTAATGAGATACATAAAATGTGTTAAATTCTATATTTTTTTTAATTATATCATAGAAAGCCCCTATGACATAGCCCCAGCCTATCTTTCCAGTCTCATGGCTGGAAACCATACTTCTCAGTTTAATTTTGGCTGCTACTCATGTTTATGCACAGACATACTCTATGGCTTAACAGTTCCGTGCTTTTGATTTTTCTGTCTCTTTCTAGCTGGAGTCCCTGGGTAGTACAAATGGTTAATGCTCTGGACTGCTAACCAAAAGATTGGAAGTTTGAGTCCACCCAGAGATGCCTTGGAAGACAGGCCTGGTGATCTACTTCCAAAAAAATCAGCCAATGAAAACCCTAGGGAGTGCAGTTCTACTCTGACACACATGGGGTCGCCATGAGTTAGAATCAACTGAGGGGCAACTGTTTTGTTTTTTGTTTTTTGTTTTTTTTTGCCTCCCTAGCTATTTTCTGTTCATTTCTTAAGTCTGAGTGCAAGCTTTTCTTCCTCCTGAAATTCTGCTGATCTGGGTTGGGTGCTTGATAATATCCTGTGCATGACTCTGTCAGTTCATTTTCTACATTGCCTTATAATTTTCTATTTATGTTTCTGCTTCTCATCTAGACTATGAGCTTCTTAATGACAAGGATTATGTTTAATGCATGTCAGGTACCATTGCCTAGTGTGTGATACCTAGAATATAGTGGCCTGTAAATATATGCTAACAGAATTAATAAACTTTAATATTTCAAAAATTTTTATGAATGTCTGGAGGGACCCTGGAAGACATGGCCCCCAGACTCTCTGTTAGCCCAAAACTAAAACCATTCCCTAAGCCAACTCTTCGGACAAAGATTAGACTGGACTGTAAGACATAAAATGATACTAGGGAGGAGTGTGCTTCTTAGCTCAAGTAGATACATGAGACTAAATGGGCGGCTCCTGTCCAGAGGTGAGATGAGAAGGCAAAGAGGATCAGGAGCTGGTTGAATGGATGTGGGAAATCCGAGGTAGAAAGGAGGAGTGTGCTGTCACAGTATAGGGAGAGCAACTAGGGTCACATAACAATGCATGTATAAATTTTTGTGTGAGAAACTGATTTGAAGTGTAAACTTTCACTTAAAGCACAATAAAATAAATTTTATGATCATCTAATAGAAAAGATGATATCATTTCATTTTTCATTGGGGACATTAAAAAAACTAAATGATTTAGATAACGCCATTAAATAATGTATCCATGCTGGTATTAGTTCCTAGTGCTCCTGTGTATAATGTAAAACATTTATGTACACATGTTATCACATAGCATAGAGGTATCTTTCTCTTTATTTTAATGTTTAGATATACTATATTGAAATAAATCTTTCTTCTTGCTTTAAATACTAAGCAATAGTAGATCATTTCCTCAGACATCAAATATTTGATTTATCGGAGAAGATTATATGCTCTGTGTCTGTGATTTTAAGTTTGGCTGCATGTTTGTTTTTGTGCTACCCACTCTTCTAATTGACAGGTTGTTAGATGTGGGGAAGAGGGAGAAGTGGAGGAACTCCATGCGCGTACTTAGGGTAGTTATGTAATGTGAAGTCCACGGACGTTGGAGTCAGATCTGCTGTTTAATAGATGCAAAACCTTGGCCAGATGATTTATTCTCACTCATAAAAGGGATTGTTTGAATGTTGTGAGGATCAAAGTAAATAGTAGCTATAAAATATCTAGCACAGTGCCCGACACAGATAGGTGCTTGAGATATATTGTTGTATTATTATTGTCTGTGAGGTGTAATGTATGGTACAGAGTAAACCTATGAAATTTCAGAGTTTAAACATTCTGGATTTCTCAAGTTTGAGCTTTCTAATTCAACCTTCATAAATATCCCAGTTAAACTGGTTAATATTTTCTCTTCCTTGTAACTTTGACTTGCTTATCTACCATTGGTATTAGATTTGAAAAATCATTTGATTTGCCATAATCTTTATCTTCAATATTTTTTCCCAACTTCAGGCAAAAAATGGGATCCAGGAAATGGAGTGTTGTTCTTTAGAATCTGACTGGATCTATTTCCATCCTGATGCTTCTGGTAGAATAATACATGTTGGCCCAAATCAGGTCAAGTGAGTATTGCCTTTATAGTTAAAAGTAGCTTTTGGTTAGCATTTATTGGCCTGTTTTTGCCAGCTAACTATTGAGCCAATTATAGAAGTAATCAGCTTGTTGTAGGGCAGTTCCTCTGAGACTGGCATCTAGAAAACCTATTTTCTTTCACCCTCATCTGTATGTAGATATTACATTTGAGTAAGTTCTTTGATGGGTGATACATGAATGAAAGGAGATTACAGATTGGCCCTTTCTCATCAGGTCTTAATTCTCCAAGACTAATGAAAGAGAAGATGATTTGTCTTTGTTCTGAAAGACAGCATTTCCACAGAAGTAGCGCGTTGTTTGAAGTAAACCTTGTTTTACTTAGTTTGCTTTCAAGGCACCTCTATCGTCAGCAGCATTCAGCAGTTGACCTCTCTCTCCTTGAAATACTCTTCATTTGGTTTCCCTGACACCATAGCTCTCCTGAATTTTTTTCTCCCTCACTGGTCTGTCTGTCTTACTATCCTTTCATGCTCTCCCTTCTCTAGCCAGCCTTTAATTGTTGGATTAAACAATTGATCCAATTTAGGCCCTCTTCTCTTCTCACTTTACATTCCCTTTCTGAATGATTCTGTTTATTTCCTTGGCTTCTAAGATCATGTATACACTAAAACTCCAAAATTTATATCTCTAACCCAAACCTATCATTTAAACTCATGCCAGAAGTCTGGGATCATTCTTGACACCTTCTTACCTTCTTGTCTGTTGCACTCATACGCTCACATATGTTCTCTCTCTCTCACATACACACCATAAATCCTGTCAGTCCAGTTTATTTTGTTACTAAGTATTTCTTAAATCTGCCTGTTTCTGCCCTTGTTCACTGTCACCATCTCGTTCAGACTGCTGGCATGACTAGCCTTGACTACAGTAATATCCTACATACAGGGCTCCCAGAATCTCCTCTTACCCTTTCTGTTTTCCTGTCAGCAACCAGAGTGATGCTGAAAAACATACACAAACACAAAAACCTAATTAAGTAAATTCTACTGCATTAATTAACCTTTTCATCGGTTCTCATTTCTCTTAAAACAAAGACCAGCATATTTAACATTTGGTCTGAAAGACCCTCCTCCCACTCAGTTTACTCCAGTTATGCCATCTTTTCAGCACGCCGAGGACCTGTTTCCTCTGTTTGGGATCTATCTCCCTCACCTGTTCTCCTGCTTAATATCTACTCATATTTTATGCCTCAACTTAAATATCTTTTTTTCTTCATGTAGACTTACCCTGATTAACTTGTTGGATTAGCTCTTCCATCTTCTTTTCATTGCACCACTGTGTATTCTTTCTCTGTACCACTTATCACAATTTGTTTTGGTTATTTGTGTAACTCTCTGTTTAAATATCTAGCTGTACATCATAAGCTCCATAATTACGGGAAAGAGTCTATCTTGCTGACACCTGTAATCCCAGCACTGAGTGAGCACAGTGCTTGGCACAGAGTAGGTGCTCAGGAAGTATTTGTGGGATAAGAAGAGCAGTGTCTGCCTTCTTTGTTCCTTAATACTTCAGAACAGTTAGTCTATCTCTCTGTAGCTGTTAAAAGGAGGATGAAAGGATTTAATGAAAAAAGATTATGACCTTTTACAAAAAAATCTTAAATTGTGGTTTAGCTTTAGTAAACCTTACTTTTAATGTTTGTTACCACCTGTCTTTAATGCTAGCTTGAGTTTAAGAAAATAAGATCTGTAAAGAGTGGATTCAGTGTACCCTTTTGCCAGGTCTTAAAAGACAAGTATTTTTTTAAATTGACAGTAATTAAGATAACTGTTTGAGTTATTTAAAATATAATCTGATTTCTTTGTTTGTGGCAACTCTAAGGCCTCTGACTCTCCCTGGCCACAGTAGCTGCTTCACCCTCACTGTTCTCTTTGCCTGTATTTGAGACTTTGAGCTTCGAGAACATTGTACTTTTTTTTTTTTTTTTAATTGTACTTCAGGTGAAGGCTTACAGAACAAATAGTTTCTCA